CAAAAGTACAAAATGCTCCTCCCCACCCCCGTCGCCGAAGGGGTAGAGGTGCGCTGTTCAGGTTCAGCCATTTCACGTTCGGAAGCACTAAAACCATGTTATGCTGCTTAGTTGGAAAGGTGGCATGCTCTGACGTGAACCACGTCATGCTAGACTAATCATGTCTCAATTAGAGGGTGTAGACAAGCAAACTTAGAGGGTTTGGACAAGCAGACATGACGATGCCTAGCCTCGCTGGAAAGTGACCCATTGCGAGACACATAGTGTCTCGGCCGACTAAGGCCACGTTTATACTTCGCGACCACCAACGACCAGGCGTAGGCAGCAGACTGCTGTTAGAGTGGGGGAAGTAGGAGGGAGGAGAGAGCAAGATTAAGCGTCGTGAAATTGTGGCATGTGCAACAGCACCATACTACTTTACAACACCGCACTTCTAGTCGTTGGTAGACACTGCTAGATCGATATATATTTTCCAGCCATTGACAGACGCTCGAAACGCTGATGGTCGCTGGTGGACGCTTGAAATGAAATTTGCCATGGAACTCACTAATTGGATCATACGAGTAGCTGGTGGGAGCTGTTTCAGTGCACTATTTGGTGCGTCTATTTTGTATTCTCCTTTTGCTACTATGGATCGTTGTCGGTTGTGTTCTTGCAGAAGTGTAAGCCTCACATCGTCCGTCATTGGACCGCTGCATTTCTCCGTGATCACACCGAAATCAACCGATGGTCTGATTGCAAGCGCTGAAAACAGGGAATTAGTGTTCTTGAATGAAGAACATTCGAGGGTGAAAAAAGCAGAATCGAATAAAATCAGTTTTGAGCAGAGGATGTGGTGAGCTCACAGCGGGCTGCACAAAATGTCCCCTGAAACAACAGTTTTCAAAAGGACCAACATCCCAATGAATAAGAGCATAAGAACAACCATAAGGATGGCGATGACAAACTGGGCTTCCGGTGGTCGATCCCGAAAGCTCTGAAGCGTCTTCTTCAATGATCTCATAGAGGAGAGGCGTTTGATACACACTGTCAAGGAATGAGTGAAGATGTCGAGTGAGGCGTACCCTTTTCAATGGAACCTTTCCATTGAGTGATAAGATATGGGAGGTAAGATGAATATTTCACAGGAATGTAGACATGTAAGAAGGAAAACCATTATAAGAGCGATTGTATACAACCCCTTCAAGGCTTTTCGCACGCAATACTCCCCTGGCCTAGCTGCCCCCAAAGAGTTGGCAGAACACTTTTGTGCACAGAAATCATACATTTACTGTCCCCACACAGAGCAGAAACCCTCTCTGTGGCGCCACTGCTTCTTGATCGTTCAGCTTGGACTTTCGTCGAGCTGGTGATGACGAATAGATTTCTTGGAACAAAGCAGTTCCCCGTTGTTGTCGCGAACGACTAGGTGGAGGCTTGCCACCCGGCAGCAGGCATTCCGTAGCAAAAGAGAATTCCACAAGCGTGACCAACATTCCTATCTCTAAGTGAAGAGAGACTACTCAGCGCGCAGTAGGCATAGATGCAGCACAGGTCCATTATTTCGCAAAAGTTAGAAGATGAGGTACCATCTATCATGTTGTTTAGGTGATTTGTCACATAATAAGGCGCTAAGCGCCGTGACAGGAATCGCTTTTGCTGGCTGGAGCTAACTATAAACTGCGTCGTGTCTGGTCGTCTGCATCCTCTCACGGCGATGGGGGACGCGTTTCATCACAGTCTAGCGGATGTCAAAACATTTCATCTACTCATTTGCATATAGACCCTATGACGCAGTTTTGACGTGCCAGAACATGGCGCCTCTAAAGTTCGCTGGAGGGTAGCGCCCCGGGGGTGGGGTATGTGACAAGACAATCGTAATATGTCGTGCTGGTGAGCGTGGCAAAGGACGTCCGCCCGACAGGCGAGTTTTCGCTTGATTGTAGCCAATAAACCTTCGTGTCAAAGTAGGGGATAATCGATATCGCTCCCTATGAGGTCTCATGCCTGCTCGAAAATTCTTCAGTTTCGCTGCTCCGATCGACAAACTGATGAGCATCGAGACTCGCCGCGCATTGTCCCACAGTGCATTGCGTGCGACAAATTACGATTGTCTTGTCCTCCCAATCATCACTGGCTGCTTCAAAAAAAACCACAACGTACGTATTCCTATGGCGAAGACTATGAGAATTACGATGACGACTGCGCCGGCAATTTGGACTTTCGGTGGTTTGTTTCGCATGCTACTGTATGTCTTCTTGAACGACTGCATTGATGAACAAGTGCAGCTTCCCAGGGCATTAGTGGAAGGTACAACTGAGACACACCAACTTTCATGAAGGGCTTCTATAGAGAGATAGCAGATATATCAAAATGTGAAACATATACAAAGAAGAGCAATCACTCGAGCGGTTGCGCACATGTTTTGTTACGGATTTGACGCTCATTCTTTACACCCGAGGGCGGTCTGAGCCAAATCCCTCGGCACAGTTCTGCAATGCAAGGAGAACAGCACCACATGTACGGGGCGGGGGGGGGGAATTGCGCCCAGATCTTTTGGCGAAGTGCTATGCAGCAAGGAGAACAGCACTATGATGTACGGGGACTGCTCCCGGAGAAGAATCAGCCCGCCATCCTACTTCAGCTCAGCAGTAGCCGAGAATTACTAGAGTGCAGAGTGTTAATTTCTCGTCACGTGCACTAGCACTCCCTAGCTAGTTGACTAGAGAGATAGGAGCATAAAGAGCTAGTGTTCTTGAGAGACGCAAACGTGGGGAGAGTCGACGCGCCCTCTCTCTCCACGTCTGCTTCTCTGAAGTCGACGCGCTGCAACACCTGTCACGTCAAGTAGGTGGGGTCCCGATGAGAATGCGGCGTGCAAAGTCCGCTTGCAGCAGCTGCTTCGTCGCGCTCGCTGCATTTGGTAGGTAATGCACATACCAATTTTCATGGGGGGAGGGGGAGAAACTCCAGGTGGACAAACAAGTTTGTGGAAAAATCAGGATGCCCGAAGTAGCTTTCTCACCAGCACGCTCCCCCTTACGATCGCAAGGTGCTATACAGGGCCGCTGGCGCCAAGAAAAAAAAATGCAGAATGGCTCTTTGCGAGACATACAGCGCTGCGATTTTGCGGAATGGGGCAGGGAGTAAAAGAGTAGGTTATAGTGTAGTTCGCTGCGGACGGTTGGAGGCGGGATGATCCGGCGCGGTGCCAAACCCGTTCTCCATCCAGTTGTTAAAGCGAGCAAGTGATATGACTGTATCATATCGTTCGTATTACTCGTTTTCTACCACTTTTTGTCGCATGCGCGCTTCAACAAGAAGGCAGAGAACGGCTTTGACGAGGTGACACACTCATACTGCCTGACACTCCCAACCGTTCGCAGCGAACTACACTATTGAAAGTTGTGGGATATCAACTATTACAACAGTGCAAACACACGTACCTAAGCTTTATTCCTCAGAGATGGGGAAGGCGTGACTGTGTCCTTTATTTGAGCAAGGCATAGAATGCGTTTTTTGTGGGATATTTTCATTTAAGACAGCTGTAATCCTCTCTTGTATTGAACAACGATTACAACTGCCTCATACAACAATATCCCACCAAAAGCTAAGCAGCCGAGTACGCAGCCACGCCTTCCCCATGTTCAGGATATGGAATGTGTGCACAGCAGCTGCGCTCTACAGTTCAGTAGTAAACTGACTGCACTCCACGAGTACAACAACAATAACGAAGAAGTTACAAAGGGATGATCTGCCGGAGCATTAGAAGGTGCTGGTGCACACAGGCACCTATGGTACCTACAAAGGGGTAAAAACTCTGGCCATAGTCTCAACTACTGTCAATCAGTTAAATCAGTTAGCTTGAAGTTTCGCCGAGTTAGCCAAAGACAGATAGAGCTCTTGAGGCAGAGACCTTCCACGTAACATCGCGAACGACTCGACACAGAAATGCCACTTTTAAAAGGTTTTCCTTTTTTCAACAGTATTTCACGAGTTGTGCTTCCCGCCCCCTTCTCTCATTTTCCCGAGGACTTGAAAGGGGATACTAAGTGGAAGCACTTGGCCTAGGCGTTGACTACAGCCCTTCCCCTCAGACTTGAGTCTTGTGAAATGCACTACTCAGGACTCTAGCATCTTCTGTGCATTACTTCGCTCGCGACACGAACACATCATCTTCTGTCAACAAGGTACAGACAGTATCGTGATGTCTGAAGAGGCTGTGTCTGCACGACCCTATCCTACCTGCCATCTTCCCAAGTTTTCTCTTTTTCCCACCACTTTCTTGAAACTTTCCAAGTCTTTTAAGTTCTCCCCTCAGTTCGGCGTCGTGCGGTGAGAGCCGCAGCTGTATGGTGACTCTGCGTCACCGGCAAGTAGGATGCGTTTCTCAGGCAGCGTTTAGACTTCGCGATGCACTAACGTCGCTCCAACGTTGTAGACAAAAACGCAGCCACATATGGGTGTCTGTCGGCACCGGTCCAATGGTTTAAGAGTGTAGAAGAGAAGAAGGGTATTACCCAATTGCACAGTCTGATATCGACCGGCCGTTAGTGTTTTGGGAGAGTATAGAGTAACAGTAGGGTACCTGCTGCGCGATTAAGAAGCTCATAAGCTGTCACACTCTTGAAACACTAGCGACCGGAGCTGATCGATACCTGCCTATGGCTACGTTCACGTCTGACATTGGAACGCTTCTGAAACATTAGGCCGAGGCAAAAAATGACCGTTTTCGCACCTGCTATGTTCCACTGATCATAATTCATTGAAAACTTAGGCAAATATAGTAATTTAATATATCGTTCGGAAGCACATTTTTCAAGCTATCGTACAAATTTTTCCCGTTTCTCTGCCACCATTTCTTCTACGATTTTGGGTCACCCGCGAAGATGTTGTCAAGACGCGAAATCCGACTCATCATGCTTCACGAGTACAACTCGGCCGTAATGCTATGGAAGCAGCTAGGAATATCATCAACGCATGGGACGAAGGTACTAGAAATGAGCGCACCATGCGTAGGTTCGACAAATTCCGAGATGGAGACTTCAACCTGGAAG